GAACTACTGTACAAAGAAAGATGGCGGCTGTACATTTTACCACAATGCCTTGCGTACTTGTAATCCATCAAATATTTTCGCTCACGTGCGATTGGTCTAAACGTGTTGTGTGACAATCATAAACACAACAATTTTATGATTGATTGCAGTAAATTTATAAAAATCCTTCTTTCAACAGTTTGTGGATTATTCATGATGATGGAAAAAATTGCAAGGGATTGGCAAAAGCCTCCTTAAGTTGTGTTTTATTGCAGCAGGTGGGTAAGTCAGTTTCTTCTCTAGTATTTCATAAATTGAATGCCCATAGAGAAAAGGTAGAATTGTTACGTGACAACCCAAATAAGACTTGAAAAGGAGACAATATATTGGCTTTAACTTAATCACTTGAAAAACAACAGTTCCAGTGTGTTTACACCAAGGAAATATTTACTTTTATGCAGTTGGCATAGCATTTCCAAATAAGTGATAACAATAATATTTACTTTGGCTTTAGATTCCTGTTTCAATCTCAAGTGCCCGCTACTNGAATGGATGTTGTGTTATATACTAGTATTTTGGACACGAGAAGATTGCCAAAATAGCATGAATTCTAGTCAATAAAAATATTAACCATCACATGGGTTGTAATTTTACTAACTTAAAGCTGATTTCATGTTTCTTGTAACAAGGGGAATAATACACCTTAACCGTGTAACCTAAAACATTGTCTGCAGAAAATGCTTTGATTTACTCTATTTGTGGTTTTTTTCCTTCTAGATTCAAAGAGAAACATCAGAAAGCTCAGTGAAGTCACCAAAGAGCTAAGCAAGGCAAAGCAGATTGTTATAATAAAAGTGACTTTTGGCCGGAAATTATCCAGGATAAATGTCGGTTTTTTTTTTGTTGATTAAGAATTCGCGCTTTAAAAGCGAACGAGAAAAAATGTCGGAAAAAGTACTAAGTCTTTTGACAGAAATTTTGTCTTTGATTACAAAAATTTGATCTTTCAAAGCAACCGGGAAAATTGTTTCTTGGTTAACGATATTGCGCTTTTAAAAGAGACCGAAAAGATCGAAAAAAAAAAACTAAGTCTTTTGGCGGGAAAACTGTCCTTAGAAAAAAAAAGTCTGCGCTTTTGAATGGAGTCTGGTTTTGAGTCAAAAATATACTAAGTCTTTTGGCGGAAAAAATCTTGCACTGTGCAACTGATTTCTCTCATCAAAAGTCAAAGTATATGTTTGATTTCTGGCTAGAC